ACAAACTCTGACAAACATCCATCCATCCATCCAAACTTTCGCGTTTATAATAAATAAACTTTAAATCTACTGGACCGATTTCAAAAAATCTTTTACCATTAGAAAACTACATTATCACTGAGTAACATAGGCTAATGTTATTATTTTTTTTAATTCTGCGCGCTCGAAGTCGCGACAAAAAGCTAGTATCTCATACATGTAGGCTATCACAAGAGAAAAATAAAGGGAAACCTCTCATGTTACTAATGTACCTCCCGATTTCTTGTTATCTGAAGCAAATCAAGGTTTTGTTGCCCGACTTGCATTACTTTGCTAAAGAAAATCAACAATATCGGATGTAGGAATAACTAAATTATTTACCTGCTAAGAAAAATAACAATTATAATGTTAATTTTTCTTAAAATAAGCTTTAGAATATTTTTTTCCTAATGTAAATAAAGCGAATTCAAGTCTTCAGTTTGCATGGATGATGACAAAATAGTTAGAACACATTACAGGTAGAATTGGAAATCCTTTTTAACTACGAGAAGCATAGTGCATACACAATTTCAGAAAAATACGAGGATTTAATTCAATTTTTAATTTGGCAAACTTCCCAGCACTACGTTTGCCAGAAATCGGTTCTAAACAAACAAAACAATCTGTTCTAGAGGATCCAAAAATTTAAAAAAGGCAGCGGAAATTCATAACCAATATCATAAACCCTCTTCCGTAAGAAGGGTCACTGTATTTACTATTTTTTCATACATCATAATCAGACGACGTAAGTGTCCACACAATACATCCATATTTAATGTTATTACTTATAAATCTAGTACTAAATCTTTGTAAGAATATAGACTTCGTCCGCGTGAATTAAAAAAATAATAAGATAGCCTATGTTACTTACAGAAAAATGACCTTTCTAACCATAGAAAGAATTTTTCAAATCGGCCCAGTAGTTTTTGAGTTATTTCAATACATACAAAAATACAAATCTTTCTGTATAATATTAGTATAGATGTATCTAAGACTTAGAGAAATCAATTAATCATTAAATTAAATAAACAACTATAAAATAAGGAGTTTTATAGTTTATTATTTTTCTACTAATTACGTTATCTTTAACGATAAGTGCTCGTAAGATACCGTGAAACAAGTTCAGGACAAACTTTAAAAAAGTAATAAATGTCTTGCGCTAAAGAACGGAGCTTTTACCTTGGTTTTTAATTAAAAGTAAAACGAAGAAATAAAACTTTTACGCCACTGGTACTCAGGCAGTTGGATAGTTGACATTTGTTAATTAAACAAAATAAACATGTTGGAATTAAAAAATCACTACAGAAAAAATATGAAGACATACGAAAACATTTACAGACTTCAAATGTAAAAGTTTAAGAAAGCTTAGTTAAAAATAATAAAGTATTTATTACCTTTTTTTAAAGAATAAATACTCTTTCTGGTAGTCTTTAGTAAAATAATATCGCAAGGGTGATGCAAATGACACAAAAATGTCGCGTGAGCTCATTCCGAGTTACGAGGCGAGGCGATCGCACGACATTGACTTTGACTTAGTAAAGATCGCGATTCCACTTGCCTTCACAAATACCGCACAAACACGATAAACTTTATATAGTAAAGTTATATTTAATTATAATCATACTATTATGGATGTTTGTTAGAGTTTTTAGTCTAAACGACTGAAAGAATTTCCTTTGAAATATATCTTTATATAGAAGATAGTCTGGAAGGACACATTGGCTACTCACAATTTTTTTTTAATTCCACGCGAACGTAGTCGCGGACGAAAGTTAGTTTACAATAAAACTATGGCAACGTTGCATAATCTATGAAAATGAATTCTCACAACTCTGCTTACGTTAAAGTTCCACGTAATCTGTAAATACTGTAAATTCAATAAAAGACCTAAATTTATACGTCTAGATCTAAGGAAATTAACTTATTTCAAAGATTAACAAAAACACATATGTTCCTATTTCAGTTTTAAACACTATTATTACAGGTTTCAGGTAACATGTAATTTCACTTATGTAGGTATATACTGTGAGTGTACATAAAAGTTGACGCATGTTAGTAATTATTTTAAAAAATAGGTCCGTAACGTTAGTTTCACTCGTCAGGCATCACCCTGTACAATTAGCAGGCGTACTATCGTAGTCCATTTTAGTGGCAGTTTACTTTTACGGCTGCCACTCCAATCTTCAGATCGAAAGGGAGGGGTTTCTTTTCACGTTACAGCATAATTTGCCTGCATTGCAATTCTTAAATACTGAAGTCTATTTGATGAATAGACTTTAATATTCTGAATTTACTATTTTTAATATCCATAAAAATTTAAAATTACTTCCATCTGATTACAGGAAATTGCTTCAAGACGAGTCATACATGTTTATAAATTTACAAATATATGACTGATATACCGTTTTCTTTATACGGAACTCGCTTTAAGAGTTCTTAGCAAGCTTGTCCCAATATTGATAAATGACTTGCTAAAATACATCGTTCAATCAACAAGATTGATCTCCGAGTAAAAATATATACAATAATAAATTTAACATCCGACTATGTTTTTACGCACAACTAAAAAACAAACACAACAATCTAGCTAAGTCAAAGTATCCCTGATTATTCTAAACGATCATCTTATAACTGTTTGTTATAGATATTCGTTATGATTATAAAATACTAACTTTCCCCGCGACTCCGTCCGTGTGGAATTGAAAAAAACAAAAGCCTATGTGTTCTTCCAGATTATCTTCTACATCTATGCCAAATTTGATCGAAATCCGTTCAGCCGTTTAGGCTACAAACTCTAACAGAAATCTATCCATCCATCCATGTAAACATTCACACTAATAATATTAGTAAGATAATAAAGATATGAAGACTCAATACTTAGTAAGATAATATCTACATTGTTTTAAATTCTCTAAACTCGTTTAAAAATATTTCGTTTTATCAGAGGAATTGTTATATCTTCTCCCCAATAAGAGAAACAGTGATATTATTTGTGCATTGGATACTAACTTTAATATCTTAATTACGTCACTTTGATTAATAAATACATAGTTTTTTACTCAACGTCTAAGACTGGAATATAGACGTATGTAAGCTATAGAGTTACAAACATTCCCATGGTAACTAGTTTTAGACAGGTTATACAGGACGAGGTATACAGCCTAGCTTCACGCTGCGCCGCGCCGGTCTGTTTGCTAAACAAATACAAAACTAACCATCGTGTTGCAAAACATTCGTTGACTGTTTCACTTTTACGTCCGAAACGTGTGAAACGCCTTTTATATTGGGTAAAAATTGTATGTTGTTTTTTCTATTTTTATGGTAAAAGAACATTCAGGTTACTGGGAATTACACATCCGATTTTAAGACAAGAAAGCTTATACTTAAAAATATTATCTCTTTTTTAAGACAATAGGATTAAATGTTTTTTCGAATTGAAAAATCACCGTAAAATGGATAAGCCCTCTATTTAAAAAAAATATAAAAAAAAATCCTAGTGCCGTAATCTACTTTTAAATCTTACGGTGTTAAAGCTAACATATCGTGGCTGAAACTAGAATAGCCTTACATTTTTCAAGCTAGAATTTTATTTCTCACTGCCATCGACCTAGAACGGCGACATTCCGTGTCCGCCAGGAGCACGGACAATGTGGAAATTGTAAGCTTTTAACATTTCAAATTTAACAGCTGCCTAGGGGATTTTATTAAAAATGTTCAATACTAACTTCTTTTTTAAAAATGTGTGAAAGGTGTAACTACATACATCATTAAAAATTTCCATTTACGTGATTGCGCATTCGTGTTCGACTAACGCTGTTTTACCTTCATTAATTTACTTTACTGCTGTTTTCACCTTGCATGTCCTGCCTAAATTGAACTGTAAGTGAGCATTTTTACATGTAAAAAATGATGTATTCAATCATAAATCACGCATAGATCTTAATAGGTAATACCACACACAATGCATGAGAATAATTCGTTGTGCATATGTGCGATACAATTTGGACACGTCAGCGCAGCACGTGCTCCGTCTACACGGACACAACAACACGTGTACCTATAGATACCTATAGATGTCGGTTGTAATCGGAAGGGTCACCCCCCCCCGCTGCCCCCGCCAGCCCGCCACGCTCGGGGTCGTATCGATCGCGCGGCGTTGCCAGCTCGCTACTTTCCCGCGCTGTTGCCGCACCTCCATAGACGTTTGCATTGTGAGTGAACGTAGAATGAGGTATACATTTTATTGTTATTATGACTTGTTGCTGTTGCTGAGTGAACGAGTCCTGACATCTCGTTGGATACGGTTACGTAAATGCCTTGTAATAAGTTCGTTATCTATTTTTGTATTAAATAATATTTGTTATTGTAAACTTTATAGTCTTGAATGGTTTGTTATGAAGGAACTTTTTATGAATTGCGAAAACAATGAAGCAGAATTGTTGATATTGTAAAGTATTTTAGGTACGTTACTTACGAAAATTATATTGAGATAAACATTATGAATTAACCAAATTCAGAGATTCAGCCTCGTTTTTCTTAAGTTAGTGTTTGTTCTTTCTTTAGTTAAATCACTACCATTTGTGGCAAATCAGTGTCTTGAAATATTCGATAAAAATAAGTGTAATTTAAGCATTAAAATACAATTTTAGTAATTATTAGCCTAAGTCTATATTATAGGAACATATATGTTTACTACTGATTATAGGGTATCAAAATACCACATAACCTGCAAATCAGAAATTAGTCAAATACATGTTAATTTTTGCCTCTTTGTTACTTTTACGTCGGCGAATGACCTCATCGTTTTGAATTTTAATTATATATTATAATTACACTACTTTTTAAATTAACGACCTGGCGCACTTTACGAGTTTTTTTATGATAATTAACTTGCGTCTGTTCGATTCGGATATCTCTCGCGTAATATATGCATCTCCCACACACTCACGCACAAACTTATGCTAATTACGTCAAAAACAACATTAGTTTTAAAAATATTTACTGACTGGAATGATCTTATAATTACAATACACTTAAATATTTGCTACTTTGTAGACTTTAACCTATCACTTCTAAACTCTTTAATAAGTCTTAAAACTTCACTGCGGAATTCTAATTTCTGGTCGACATTAAACTCTCTAACCGCTGGCAGAAGGGAATCGAAGAATGACCTATCTTCGTCTTCCACAGTATAGCTGCAGCTGGGATCTGGGAAAGACGCATCGACAAAATCTGTTTTATTCCTTTCATCATCTTTGTTCTCTGGGACACGTCGTCTTTTAAGATTGTCTATGGTTGACGGTACTTCATCGGAATCAGTCGCCCAGTTCGATTCGCTTAGTGTTTCAAAACGTTTCCGTTTTCCGGTTAATCTTTTGTGTTTAGTTTCATCGTTCCATTCTTTAGAGTCTGTTTCGCTGCCCGATTGAGATTTCTTATACCGGTTGTCGAGGAATGTCAGGAATTTAGAATACATGTACCTTTTGCCATCTTTTTTTCTGAGATCACGCACGTATGAATCCTTTATGTTCCGCCATTTACATTGCAGCTTTTTGTCTGGAAATATTTTAAAATTTTAGTAAAAATAAACGTAATTTTTTCAAGTGAAGGTTTTAATTATTCGTATCTACTTTTTTCAGTTGTTTTCGTTCAGTAAGATTAAATATTATTCTCTTTGTACTATGTTAATGCTTTTAACTTTTACGGTTCCTAACTTTGAAATTGATATAATCTGTATATATAATGTATTTGTTGAAATAAATACCACAAAGTCAGAAAGTAGTTTTTATTTAACTTTTTTTAAACTTTAATTACTATTTTAGAAACGTGATAAAACCCTAATATTAATGAAAATGTAGATAGATATTCACTACTACTAAAAATTACTGAACAGATTTATTAAGAACAAAGATACATCTCTAAATAGAACATAAGCTACTCAAGTTTTTGTTTAATTACACAATTTAACACAAAGTCCAGGCTACATACAGCTTGTAATTTATAAATTTAATTACCAGCCAGACGTAACAGTCGTAGGCTTGGAGCCACACCTCGTTTCCACCTACTGAGCTATATCAAGTTTTACGTAACAGCTCGCCTACGCTGTGCAGCTAAAGCCATTTAAATCGTACTGTAGATTATGTGACAAGGCCCTTAGGTCATGACCCGGCCTTTTTGTCCTACATGTGTATAGCCCTACAAGGATTAGAATAAGGGGCAATCTCCTATTCACAACGAAACATCTAGAACAGCACTTGTCGAAATGAAGTTTTAAGAGTTGAAGGAGCGGCTTTTATAAATTTGGTTTCGTTATGTTTTTTTATTTACTTTGTTTTGCAAAAGTTGTAATATATTTCTGTTAAGTAGCATAAATCGATACTTGAAATATGTGCAGCGTATAATATGAAATTTCGAGAGCACTTCGATTGACTTCACCGATACTCACCGGCTTCTGCCTTCTCGTTATCCGGCAGTTCATCGAAGTCTGTGATAAGCATCCGCGCGATATGATTCCAGGCCCGCTGCTTCCTAGTTTTGTGCTTATTGTCCTCGCAGTTTGCGTCCCATATCACCGGGTACTTTTCCACTTCACTTATGAACATTTCCACGTCGAGGCAGAAAGTCATAATTCATGTCATTTGGTTACGTTGTATAAACGTAGCGTATCCGCTGCGAGTGCGGGCGCGACTGTTCCGGGGGCCGCGCGGCTGGGAATGGCGTGCGCCCGCCGCCCGCGACCCGCATCGCGTCCGGCGCGGCGCCGCTGCGGCTCCGACGCGGCTGCACGGTGCGGCAACGCCTGACCGCAAGTCGTGTCTGCACGGTGCGGCAACGTCGCGCTGCACACAAACCCGTCTCGCTTGACTTTTTCTTGTGTTGTTTGTGTACGCTCGTTTTGTGCCGACTACGACTTTGGCCCCTAATTTTGAAATTTTCCACAATTGCAATGCATATCAAAAGAATGATTCATTTGTTTACGTTAAGTATAATGCAGTTAATATCGAGTTTATTATCGAGTGACTTTAATTTTACAATATAGTAATAAGTAATATGTATATATAATATCAAGCAAAACATAGGTATAAGTAATGACTATAAAACTGGAAATAAGATAAAGTTTGCAATTTGCATTTTGCTATATTTCGGGATGCTTTAAATGAAGTAAAATGCGGTGATGTCATCGCTTCCTCAATGGTCCTCACGTCCTGAGGGAAGACCGCCTAACCTAGATACTCGCCGATTAAGAATTCACTGTCGTCTGAAATTTAAAATTGCAGATTATAACGTTGTGTCTCTCCAATCTTTTTCAAACTAGTCATTGCTACTATGGTAAGATTTTTTTTTTATTTAGTCCGTTTAAAATGTTAACTCTATTTACTAAAACAAAATATATAGTTTTTAATTGTGACTTCTTTAAATTGCATCATTAAAGTACCGGTATTTGTTTTATTTCGCAATGGTGGAAAAAACTAAAGTTTTTTTCTCTATAGTAATTTTTATACTAATGTTACTGGGTGAGTTTGGCATGTGATGTGCGCTTGCGGCCTTGAGGGACGTCCGTGTCCTTATCAGAAATAACATTGACTTTGAAACGTCTTATTGTTTTTATAAATCAACATAAGACGCTCGTTCGTTAACTCGCGTTCGGAACAATTGCGATACGTTTGAAGGGCAATATGCACTAAGTTGACGTATTCAGTTTATTTTGCTTGTAATATGCAAGATTTGCAGAAAAAATGGTATTTGCTCTATGCAAAATTTTAATTATAAATAACTTTAACGAAGTATTAGGATACAATTATTTAACTAAACCTTAATCTTATCTCACTAATATTATAAATGCGAAAGTTTAGATTGATGGATGGATGTTTGTTAGCGTTTGTAGCCGAAACTGCTGAACGGATCTCTTTGAAATTTGGTACAGGTATAGAGCATAGTCTGGAAGAACACATAGGCTACTTTTTATCCCGGGAATAGTTACGTTTCCCGTGGGATTCATTAATTTAGTTTTTTAATGTTTACTCGATCATTCTGCAACGGTTCAACATATCTTATTGAAATTTGGCACAGATATAAAACAAAGTCTGGTGTACACATGGGAAAGGGTTCATCCCCGAGAAATGTCCGGTTCCCGAGGGATACGTAGCTTTTTGTTATTTAAATAGTTCGTATGTTTTCTAATACCACGCGGACGAAGTCGCGGGCAACAGCTAGTATGTTACATAAAATTAATTAAAAAAAACATTTATTTTATAAATGAATTTTGATCTCGGCTTTATTAAAGTAAAGGTCCAAGTAATCCTGGATGAAAAATGAAAACCATTTAGGGTCGGGAACATACCTCCCGCACAGCCGCCGTCTCCCGACATTTATGGCATAACTTTAGAATAATGGCTGTTTTCAATTTAAAACGGCACGCTCGCCTGCTTGCGGGATATGTTATACTTGCTTTCGCCCGCAACTACGTCCGCGTGGAATTAACAAAAAGAAAGTGAGTGGACTATGTGTTCTTCCAGACTATCATCTACATCTATACCAAATTTCATCGAAATCCATTTAGCCCCTTATCGATCTACCCTTATCTAAAACTTTCGCATTTACAATATTATATAATATGATTGTTTTTTGTGAATACTGCTTAGACTTCCACATGTAAAATTAAAAAACAAAATGAAATCGCACTTTTTGTAAATCTGTTTTAAGGCGCTTATTTTATTTAATTAATAAAATAAGTACTGCTTTACCTAGATCCCAGGATGTTTAGTGGTTAAGTTATTTTGTCGATAAAGTCGTCAACTCGAAGATATTTTTTTCTTTCAAAACCTTAAACCATTACCATCAATCAAGAAATATCTAAGGATTGTAGTTTAAATAGTGCTAAACAATTTAAATTACACTCAAATCTATGCTAATGTTATAAAGAGAAAAGATTTGTATTTTTGTATGTATACGATTAACGTAAAAATTACTGGGCCGATTTAAAAAATTCTTTCATCTTTAGAAAACTAATATATCTGTGAGTAACATAGGCTGTATTTTTTATTATTTTTTTAATTTCACGCGGGCGAAGTCACGAGCAACAGCTAGTTGTACATGAATAGGATACAAAATGTACATCATTGTTATATTTTCCTCAATTATTCATTCATAGTTTTTTGTAAACACTGAAAATTAACAATATGTGATGAGTAAAAAAATAACTTTCCTATTGTCTGTTACAGGTACCTAAGCATAGCGAGGTGAGCACTTAAACATTTTTTTTTATAATTAACTATTTATTAAGAGTAACAGTCTTTATATTAAACATAACAATAATAAGGGTCTATCCCACCACATAGTAAATTGTCTGATAAATCCAGCGTGTCAAATTTACGAGTATGATGGTAATATCGAATTTTGTTCCCTTATCTGACAATGACACCATTTTAGGCTATCTGAGCCTCTATCAGTGGTGGGACAGGCCTTAAGCTTCTTAACTACACCTTTGGGTGATAACCACTAAAAGTTCCTATAGTATAAATTACACTTAAGATATGTCTATGCATTCTTAACAATAATAATCTCGTGAAAGCCGAAAATGAAAAACTATTAAAATATTTGGATTTGGCTCACGAGATTACCGCCATGTGGCGTATGAAATCGACTACCATTATTCCGATAGTCGTTTCGGCACACGGGCTGATAGCGAAGAGCTTCGACCAACACCTCATGAAGCTCTCGCTAGACAGTTGGATTAAGGGCCCGATTCAAAAGGCGGTTATTTTAGAAACCGCACGACTAGTGAGGAGGTTCCTGTCTCTGCAGCCCTGACCACTGGTTGCTTGAGTCATCGGATTCCGCAGCCGGTGGTGCTCTATTTTTTATATAATATATTTTATTTTTGTAATCGTGTAAAATGTATTATATAGAGAATAAGAAATAAAGATATATGAACATAATCTCAATATCTTCAAAATACATTTCGTACGATAACTTTTAACAGTGAAACCCTACTGTTAAATAATCAACCATCATTCAACATTGTCATTCCTCTGTGGTTTGACATCTGTCACACTTCTCTCCCCTGATGTCCCAGGAGTCAGGTTACTGTAGTGACAAGAGACAGCTTCCTGCATTATATTAGCTATCTGAGCACGTGTCCACATTTTAATATTCGAAGGCAATTGTCTCATTTCAGGCACAAATGATAATAAAAATAATTTATCAGCATCCGACTCTACATCGTTAGGCACTTCCACGTTGTTGAAGACAGGCATTTCGAACTCGTCGGGAGCCTCGCTTTCATCAGAATTAGAGATTGGTGCCTTCTTCTTCCTCTTTCTTGATTCTCGACTCAATGGACTAAAGGTCTCAGTGAACGGATCTTTGTCTGTTGCGGTTTCATTTGGTATATTGTCACTGAAAAAAAAGGATTTTTTAGGTCAAATATTATCAAAAGAATATAGAATCTTTCACAAATTATTAACTGAATAATAATTTTATCGATTTTAAATTTCTCCAGAACTGATGTAATTTAATGCGGACTTTTCTTTTAATCGCTAAATCTTATCTTTCCTTGAGTTCCGATAAAAAATCCATTACGTGGCTACACTACGGGCATTATAAAATGTCTTGCATATTTTATCTGACTGGGAACACCAGTGAAAGCCGCGCCTTATCTAAATTAATTAAAAAGTGAAATCGCGATTACGATAAGAAATATATCTTAAACTAATTCCTATTAATAAATATCCTTTGTTCTTTGTCCAAAACCTTTAAATCGAATTACCAAACTTACTCTTGCACTCATAGTTGTCACTGATGTGTTTCTACACTAAGGGTGACTTACACCTATTGAGTGTTCCAGTTAAATATCGATTATCAACCAAAGACGGTTAGTGAGATACTAGTTAGTGACTTACTCGTCACTAAGGGAACCATCAAATCCTCCGAGAAAGGTCATCTTCTTGAAGTATATGTACACACGTCGGTGCACCCTAACTCCTGAGCGACGGGACCTGAGTTCTCTGTTGTACGCATCTCGAAGCGACCGCCATTTCCTTTGAATCTGTAGGACTAAAACGCAAGTTATATTATCGTATACAATGATATAAATACCAGCGTTGTTGTCGCCTTTATGGTTAAATTCGCCTTATTAAAAAAAAAACGAAGACAAATAAACTAAAACTAAGATATACTACATACTACAATACTCATAAAATTACATTTCAAACGGAAAGAAATGTAACGTAACGTACGCTTCGCTACGTACGTTTTAGAATAAGTTTTTCTATAGTGTTTTATTTCTAACGTTATTTCCAAATAAAAAAACAAAAGAAGTCTACTAATAGAGCTGTTTTTTTTCTAATTTGCAATTACTTAATCGTTCATCTCACAATTGGGACGTACTTATTGAGACATCAAATCCAATGACCTTGAAACTTCCAGTCACGACTACGATAAAAACTTAAGCTAAGTAAATAATGCAACTAATTGCACAAGAAACTAAGCTTTATAAATACCACGAGAAGGTACAAATTATTGTTTGTACAAGATTTTTATTTAACGTCAAAATAATTGTTGTGTTTAAATTATTTTCAACGTATCCTTTTTAGACTATATCGTTAAAGATTTTTTACAATAAAGTTGATAATAAAGTGGTATCTGATATTTTATAGATCTGATTATGACGTCGCAAAAGCCATCGCAATGTCGACTAAATTCATTAAAATAGTTTTAAACATGTGAGCAATAAATTATTTCTCCCGGTACGTGAACAAAACACGCATTTTCTAACATATGGGTACAACGCATGACAAATTATGTCTGCATCGTTTAATGAGATGGTAGTTTTTAATTATTATTTATTATAGTGCTAAAACATGAGTCATTTTTCATCCTAACTTCGATTGGGTAACAATTAAAACTAATTTTGATCTTCAGATAAATACCTATATCAACTAAATTATCGATTTCTATAATAAAATGTCTCAACAAGTTTCAGTACCTGCATGATACATAGTCGCTTTGTTGAAAGTGTCCCAATTAGGAAATAAAGCAGCTCCGACTTCCTTCCATAACTTTAGTCTTTCTAGACGATCTCTAGGATGGTCCGGTTCGTATAACCCTGGTCGCTTTTTAACTTCTTCAATAAGTGTTAAGGGACTAAAGTTTGATATCACATCGGGATCTGCCATGATAGTGCGACGGAAAAAACGCAACGAGCACTCAGTAGCGACGACGCGACGCGACTGGTCCGTGTATGTCGTCGTAGTGGGCAGGCGCGCTGCGACTTGTGCTGCCCGCCCACTGCGACAGTCGCGCGCGGCTGTGCTTAGTAGACGCATGTCGGTGCGGTCCGTCGCAGTACAGTCGCATTTACGAAACATTTTATAAACATAACCAAGAACATAGTTATCCTGTCTTATAACTAGTAGGTCTAATATAAGCTATTAAAAATTAAATGCAGTATTATTTTAAAATTTATTATGCTATTAGATTTTCTCCGTCGGAAATTAATGATTTCGTAGAACCCATATTGTTATAGGAAACAACTTTAATTAATAATCATCCCTTTAAAGAGGTTGTCAAAATTAAACGCTCTGTTTATTTTAAACTGTACGTATATTTTCCTGTTTACAACAGTCTAAAGTACGATTAAAGCCGAGCAGTCTGTCACTTGCGGACAAAAACAAAACTTAATAAATGGAATTCGAAATTCAAATATAATATCTAACTGTTTCGTACCCACCTTAAATCTTCAAAAATGTCGTAATTAAAACGAAATAGAAAATGATAAGTTTAACAGAAGTAAACAAATGGCAAGTAAATAAACAATTTTGAATATTATAATTCTAAGTCTTCACTTCAACGACCCTTGAACTCAACACGTTGAAATTTTGCGTGTGGGCGCAGTATTTATTTACATGAAAACGACTTGGTTTACGATCATATATTTTGTGTACTTTCTATACAGATCTTAAAATCGTAAATGTAAGATTTCCTTATACGGCTTTACAGAACATTAAGCTTGTTTAAGTGAATTTTGGAATCGATTTAAAGAACAATTTTTATCGTATCGCTTATAAAAGCCGAGTATCTTGAGGACGATGACCTCGAGATAAACGTCGCTAAATCTTTTAAGCGACCCTTTTTATGTCAAGAAACGTTTTTGCAAGATTTGCTTTGAAAACAATTTAATTCGCTGTATTTGACAAAAAGTGTGCAATATTTCACCTAAACAACAATAGCTTTGATTGCTAGTTTGAAGTAGAAATGATAGCTAATGTAATAGTTTTATTTTAAACGTTCATTAAAAAGTTGTAAAAAAAAAAGCTTAAATAAAAGTAAAATATGTTCCCATCTAGACTCTAACCTCATCACTCACCGACTTAGGTATACTTTCCTCTAGGCCAGTTGGTATTTTTTTACAAAGCATGCAAGCGCGACGTTGCCAGCTCGCGTTAAGTGCGCGATGTTGCCGCTCCGCTTTTATTTTTTCTTTTTACTATACAGTAATAGAACCTTTTTGTAGTTTGATGCACTTTTCATGTCCCAAAATATTACAACGAGGTCCGTTTTTAATTTTACCTAACGAACTTTTAATAATTAAAAAAAGTTACGCAAAATATTTTAGAGTAAAATTTTATTCACTCTCACAAAGTGGGCTGGAATTTACAACCTTAATAAGTTACATTATGTATATTAAACATTAGCTGTTGCATGCGACTTCGCCCGGGTCATTTTAAAAAATATATCCTATGTTACTCCCTGTGAAAATTTTAATGGTGAAAGAATTTTTGAAATCGTAGCCAAGTAGTCTTTAAGTTATTTTAATACATACAAAAATATAAATCTTTCCTCTTTATAATATTAGTATAGATTCAAGTAGGTGTGGTATACGATAAAAACAACTTTTATAATGGAATAACAATAGTTTACTATCAGATTTATGGGGTAAAACTGGACACTAGCGTTTATTGAAACACATAAATTACGATATTTCATTCATAGCTTATGTCCAATATTGGTTTCCTAGAAAGGTGCACTTACTTCCTACAACAATTGGATTTAAAAATGGTCCTTCGAGCAGAGTTCGAATTTGAAAATCAGAATTAAACTAAAAGATAATATATCTAATCAGATGAAAGTCAATTCGAATGTTTATCCGCAACGATTAATCGGAGAAGTATGATTTATTGAATTAAAATAAAATATGTTCTGTCTAAACAGGCATAAAGCAGTGTGGGTAGTCGATTATTATAATCAATGTAAACGTCAAATCCATATCTATACTAATATAATAGAGCGTAAACACACACTTCTTTGTTGCCTAAGATGTCAGCAATTACAGCATATTTTCGAATAATTCTTTTTTTAATAAAAAGCCTTACACTTGTGTCACGCTTTAGGCTATATATTCACGTCGTTAAACTTAAAATGGTGAATAATTTGGATAAAAACTCTAATGTGGGAAAGAAACCATAAGTTTTTGCCAACATCAAGGAAGAAAGGTTGCCATGGTTTGACGTCATGTCATTTTGACATTTGACAATTGTGAACAATAAAATGAAATTATTATAATTCCGTGCGAATGAAGTGGCATGGGAACAGCTAGTTACTCAATAAAAAATTAACGCCACGCTTTCAAAAAGAGTCAAAACTTTGTCATTTGCTAACTACTAACAATAATTATAAGAGTCTGGTTTTTGAACATAAACGATTTTGTTTTACTTTAAATTCAACGATATTGCCAAGCAACGTAGGCGTGACCCAAGAGCTGGGTAGATCGATAGTTGTTCAAACTTGTTTATATGTTGGCATGGTACAACTTTGAGTGAGGCTTTACAACTTATAACCGTACCAATTTCCTTATATTTGAGTGAGCCCAAGTGATGGAAATAATCTACAAGTTAAGAAAAAAAAAGAATATTATGCTGTAGTGAATGCCAATTTTGTTATTCAATTAAATGTAAGAAATACGATTACAAAAACATTACTAGAATTGCAATAAACCGGAGTGACAAGTTTTCTTTTGTATGGCAAAAAATGTTTTCAATGTGACGTAATCGTAAGGAGTGCCCGTGTTGCCATTGAAAATGTAAGATAACAATTCAATAATGCAAATAAACTTGCTTTATTATAAAGCAATAGTTAGTTATCTTTTTATATCGGTACAGAATAATTACGATCAAAACAACGAAAATTGTGAAAACAACGCGTGGTATGTATGTGGGTGCGACGTTGCCGCTCCGTGCGGACCGCTAGGCGGCGTTGCCGGCTCGACCCACTTCCCGGGCGACGGGCCGCGACGCGCGCTTTTTTTTCCTCAGCGCGGCTAAATTCTCCCGCGCTGTTGTTTATAGCTTAATTGTGGACTTCAGCATTCTTGAGGTCGTCCTTCCTGGTACGAACTACACATTTGCTATGCGTACGTTTCGCTTTAATAAATTTAAATGCCTGAAGTTATTCGTATACAAATAAGTCCAACAGACGTGGTTTATTTGCTAGAATATCTCTAAAGCCTTTATGTATCGTATGGCTACGTAGTTGTTTTAATGTCTAGTTTCCTTTAGTTAATAGTTATTTTCTGCGAATTACAATTGTACAAAAAAGCTGCGTTTTAAATTTATGTTAATAATAATCCATAATTTACATATCTTTAAAGTTCACAAACAAGCTTTAAATTGAAAATTATAATTTTATAAAATCTAGTGTTGCCATGGGGAATGTATGGCTGTATAAAACCGGTTTTGACACCCGGCGAATATCCACACGTCCAAATTGCTTTTTAAAATGGATATAGGATTGAAAAAATACATCTACCTGGAATAGATCAGGTCCTGTCAGATATTGAGAAGTTGAAGATGATGAAATATTAAAAAAAAGAATTGGAAGGAGTTTGAAGGAGTTTACGGCTTGATAATTTAAAAAAAAACTATCTAAGAATATTTAATGTAGCCTATGTCATTCAGAACTAATGGTTTTTTAATAGTCATTATCAAAAATACAAAAATTTCATCTGAAGAAAAAAAATTCAATCTTTTTTCTGAATATTTTAAAACTATTATTTAGGAGGAAAAAAACAATTTTATTGAAAAAACTTCTCTAACAATGCCGAGGATTTAAAATAGCTGCATTAGACTGCAGTTTGCAATATACGTTAGAACAGTGCGATATAATTATTGTGATAGTCGCTTCTCAGCTATTTGCATATAATGCCGCCTCTCTTGGAAGTCTCCGACTAGGGATGCGAAATATCGATAGAAGTAACAAAGTTTTAGTGGAATACACATATTCTAGCTAATATTAAAATGGCAGCTCTACATTTAAGTACAAAATTTTTAAAACTTAAATTCAGTCTAATAAATATGTGATTTCTTTGTAACAATCTATCGATATTCGATAAGATCTAAGCATAAACATCACTAGTGGGAGGCGTTTTTGCTACGCTCGCACAATGCACATCCGGTGCATTGTCGGCCTCAGATCAGCATCTTCATGCGGCCTGCACACGGCATGCAACATGCATTACAACGCAAGTCAGCTAGACTGACAATGACGATCCTTACTGACTCAATATGGTGGGTTACCACTGTCGAAACACGTATTTAAAAGTAAGTTTACACTGTCTACACTTTATAAAACTAGCTCGCGATTTCGCCCGCGTGGCATCAGAAAATAATACATAATATAACCTATGTTATTCACAGTAAAATTACTTAACAATGGTGAAATAATTTAAAAAATCTGCCTTGTAGTTTTGGCGTGAATAAAATACATACAAAAATCCAAAAATACAAAACCTTTCTCTTTATAATATTTGTATAGATTTACATTCGACCTATTTGAATAACAGGATATGTGTAAATATAAACGTAATTTGCAAATTCACCCTCAAATTGTTGATTGCCATTAAATTTTACTCAATGTTAGTCTGCAAAAAAAAGTAGTAAAAGCCCAAAACATACACGTATCTGATTTACGTAACTTTACACATAAAATAACCTTAAAAACTCTTTAAATATCACCACGGGATATCCTATTGAATAAATCCGCTTCGCTATTATGACGTCATGTGCCTATGTTCACTTCTGAGTCATAAATGTGAGGAAACCGACATTACTCTTTTATTCCTATTTGTGACCAGGACTGCATCACTGAACGAAGCGGTTATATGTAAATTTCATTACAAATGGTTCAACGACACTGATAAGCCAGCACGTAACAGCGCCCGGAACGAGGTCCTTCAAAATGACT